TCTCTCTCTCCTCCCTTTCTATCTCCTCCCTTTCTCTCTCTCTCCTCCCTTTCTATCTCCTCCCTTTCTCTCTCTCTCCTCCCTTTCTATCTCCTCCCTTTCTCTCTCCTCCCTTTCTCTCTCCTCCCTTTCTCTCTCTTCTCCCTTTCTCTCTCTTTCCCCCCTTTGTGTGTGTGTGTGTGTCTCTCTCTCTGTGTGTCTCTGAGGTTTTGAAGATGTTATAAGGTGACAAAGACTAAGTCAAAGAGACAAAGAGATGAAGAAAGGAGAGACAGGGAGCATAATGCCACCCCCGAGCTGCTGGGACCCTGACAGTCTACCCTCCCCGGCGCCCTTCCTAGCAGAGGAGCCCTGAGTGGGCCTCAGCTCCCGCCCGCCACCAGCCAGCCAAGAGCAGTGTGGTTCTGAGGGCTCCGGTTGGGCTGCGCCTGCTACTGGAGCCAGAGCTCTTTAATTAACTCCACTCTTATTTCCCTGCACCCCGAGGCTTCTGGAGCACAGCGAAGATGCAGACCTAGTCATCCCCAGAGAAAGAAATAGACTCTCATTACCCGGCACAGTCCCCCAGCTATTTGGATTGAAACAAATGCTCGACTTTGAAATAACAACAACAATAATGATTTCAATGATCCCCACGCATCAAGAGCTCATTATGTGCTGGGCATGTTACAGGCAGTCGCTCTCTTCACCCTCATAATGACCATCTAAACAGGGTACTATGGGTAGCCCCATTTTACAGGTGAGCAAACTGAGGCTCAGAAAAGGCTGACTTGTCCATGATCTTAGCTACAGGAGCTGGTGCAGCTGAAATTGGAAGCTGGTTTTTGGCTCCAGAACTCACACCACACTGGACTATTACCAGGCTGGACTTCATTTCATTCAGTCAACCTATGGACAAATCTTACCGAATGCCTCTAAATGCCAGGCACCTGCTTGGTGTAAGGATACATCTGTGCTGTCAGGACACCCACAGAGGCCACCGGTGTGAAGATCCAGAAACCCTGACTATGTTTGCAAATGAAGGAAAGAGCAAAAACAGTCAAAATATGGAGAAGGAGGCCAGGTACAATGGCTCACGCCTGTAATCCCAGCACTTTGGGAGGCCAAGGCGGGCAGATTACTTGAGGAAAGGAGTTCAAGACCAGTGTGGCCAACATGGTGAAACGTTGTCTCTACTAAAAATACAAAAATTAGCCGAGCGTGGTGGTGTGTACCTGTAGTCCCAGCTACTCGGGAGGCTGAGACAGGAGAATTGCTTGAACCTGGGAGGCGGAAGTTACAGTGAGCTGAGATCGCACCACTGAACTCCAGCCTGGGCAACAGAG